CTGGGGCTGGCCCTGGCATCAGGGTTGGGTGCAGGTGCAGGGGCTGGGTGCAAGGGGTGGGGATGGGAGCATGGCAGGGGGAGGGCCTGGGGCTGGGGGCAGGGGGCAGGGCCTGGGTGCAAGGGGTCAGGACTGGGTGCAAGGAGTGGGGATGGGAGCATGGCAGGTGTAGGACCTGGGGCTGGGAGCAGAGGACAGGGCTGGGTGCAGGGGATGAGGCTGGGAGCAGGGCAAGGGTAGGGCCCGGGGTTGGGAGCAGGGGACAGGACAGGGGGCTGAAACTGGCACAAGCTGGTTCTGGAAGACGCTGGGTGCCTCAGACTGCCAATATGAACCAGGCTTTGTAGACACACTGGAAATAATCCTTGCAAAACGAGGCTGACCAGGTCAGTAATGGTGAAGGGGAGCTAGCAGGATCCCCATGCACTGCTCATTCCTCAGGAGACGGGGAGGATCCCTCTCAAAAAGACTGCCAGATGGGCTGGAGTAAAACAAGGGTGCACAAGACAAAGCTGTTGTGACTGAGCATCCTGTGTGTGCTAGCAGGTAAGCAGTGCTTCGAGCATCGGTTCCTGGCACGTCACCAACCTCAGTCAGCTCCGCTCTCAGCTGCAGATGCAGGAGCCAGCCTGGTGGTTTCTAAGGAGTGAGTGAATCTGCCGTCTGGGGAAATTCTGACTCATTGCAACCAGAGAAAGACCACTTGGTTACAGAGCACTTCCTCACGATGGAGCTGTCTCATGCCAATGGGTGGGTGAACAGTATCTGATTGACAGCGCTGGAATCAAGAGCTTTGTTTCCCAACCAGCTTCTTCAGAGAATCGTGGAATCTCCTCCGGCTGCGCAAGGGCTCAGCCTGCAGGTACAGGGAGGGAGGAGAGAGGCCTGGCTCCTCAGTCACACAAAATGTTACTGGGCCAAGTCTCACACTAAGCATTCCCAGGAATTCATGCCAACCATGTGGACATCTTTTGCCTTTTTCACATTACACACCTACACATGTGCCTGCATCCAACACAAAACACACGCTAAACACGCATTCAGCAAACCACACCCTCCACGAACACATCTCATGCAGCACCGCTTGGCATGCGCTCACACATCCTACAGATGCACACACACGTCATGCATGTGTGTTTACATCTCGCCCATATGCACGCACACTCACATGCTACATATACGTTTGTTTCCAAGTCATATACGGAGAGCCCACGTTTCCCACACGCATGCAAAACTGTTTCTCAGGGCAGTGGCTTCCCAGCCACTTTGTTAGTGTGACAGTTCTGACATCATGAGCTGTGGCTCGCACAGCTGAGGAAAGCACGTTGGCTCTGAACTCAGAGCAGCGCTCTTTTTCCATTCATAGTAATAGCCCGAAGACACAGGCTGCTTTCCCAGTTGCTTTGCTGCCCTCGTGGAAGTGTTTTATCTTTATCTCTGCTCTTTCATAGTATCTGAATAAGCGAGTGGTTTGGAAATCCCTTCTCCTGTGTCTGCTCAAAATCATTCCCATGTGAAATCCCCCCTTGTGAGTTACAGCAGCCTCTGGATCACACACACTACGTGCTTTCCAGAAGGCTTTTCTGGCATTCTCTGCTTTGGGCTGCTAGGTAATTTAATGGTTATGAATAACCTTTGTAGTTCCACATGCTAATATCAAAGTAGTCATATCTCATGCTTCAAGGCATCAGCTGATTGCCAAAAAGGAGCAGGAGGAGAGTTCTTCATGTGTCTTCAGTCTCCTAATTCAACTGCTGAGTTGCTGTCTGGCTCTTTGAAACAAAGCTCAAACCCTGGTGGTCCTCTCAAATTGCAAAGGTGATAGAAATTCCAATAGCACGGACCGCGAGAGAGAGAGGGAATTCAAAGTGGAATCGGATGAAGTAAGGGAAAGGACAGTGAAGCCAACAGGCATTTTGAGGGTGACAACTGCCAAAAGTGATTCCACTTCTTTTTGAGAGAGACATATTGGGAGGAGAATAAGATGTCTGCTCTACGCAAGCAATTCTTTTGGACGTAATATCAGGGTAGATACCAGTCAAAATGAGGTAGCATAGTTTCTTGGTTTGGTAAGCAAAGCAGCAAAACCTGTTATAAACTACAAATGATTTCTGCAAATAGCTATTTGCATCACCCTTCCTGTGTTGTGGAAGGGTTTAGAAGCACTCTAGGTGAGGTGCAAACCCTGGTCTAAATATAGCATCCAGACTGCATGTGCCCCGCAGGCTTAGAGGAACAAAAATGGTCATTTCACCCTGAAATACTGACTTTTAAGGTTCCACTGAGAGATATCAGTGTCTTATTTAGGAACAACGTTTGAAAACTGAGTCTGCGCAAGAATTCTGAAAGAAAAAAAATTGTTCCTTGCAAGGAGAACCAGGAGACATAGCTGAGAAGAGCTGCAAACTGAGGTGTGAACTCTCAAACCCTGTTGCACTGCAAAGCTCCGAGACATTTTACATCCTGCTTTTCTGCCACAGAGACCTCTCCCCTCTTAGCTCAGGTTTGGATTTGTTCAATTTCTAGTGTTTTCTGACAAGCTAAAATAAAACGTACAAGTACCTTTCTAACCATTATAAAGCTACTTCATGTCTTTGTTATAAGAACTGTCCAGTGTAAATTCAGCTATGATGACATTTGTAAATGATCCAAACCATCAAACACCCCCAAACAAGATCAGAGATGAACTGCTTTTCACATGCTGCCTAGGTGAATTACCTCATCGGTTAATGAGCTATGGCAGATTTGCCACGTGAAGCGCAGGGCGTTTAGATCAGATCATACAAGCTTGGGAAGGGCAAGGAGTCCTGGGCCCCAAATCAGGAATCCTTCAGTTGGAGAGAGCAAATGGACTTCTAGAGTCTCGGATGCTTTTATATGTGAATTTGTCAGTCAAGAAAGCAAGGGACTAAGAAGAGCAGGGGAGAGTGGCAGACTGAGCTCAGGCAGGAGCTGTGCATGACTTCCTACCTACCCACTGACTTCTGGATCTCCAAGTTAGTCCTGACCTACAGCACCCCTCATAATGAAGAAACATGTTTTCTGGGGAGATCACTGTACCTCACAGTGCCTGTTTTCTAATGTGAATCCAATGCTATTTATGTAACGGTATGTTTGCATGAATGTTCATGTCCCACACCTGTGGTATGTGATGCCATTGTGAAGATATATTCATGTGGTCCACGTACCATGCGGTGGCAATGCAAGCCCATGGGCCTTCCAGAGCATGCAGATCCCACTGTGCCTGTGCCTGGGGGCCATGAAACGCACTCTGACAGAGCAGGGTAAAGTCAGCATGTGTTGGATGCTGAATTATGCACTAGAGCCCA